AAATTACACTTTCTGCCAGATAATTGGTAGTGTTTTGTCATCTTTTGAGGAGAGATTAATTTCCTCTGTAAATAGTTATTTGGCTTTGTAGGACCGATGAAAACATTAGTTATTAACACATACACTAGGCCAGATAAAATTTAGTCCTGAAATCCTTCGAGAATTCTTAATTTTGGTCTTAAGAAATGCTTGTGTCTATCTGGAAGACATAGCAGACACAAGAAGCAACAGGATGCTTGCTAGAATTTTTCTATCAGGTGCTCATTAAAAACAAATTGGAAAAAAAAAATTAGGTCTGACATTTGTTTAGGTCCAGTTGTCAGAGAATTTGTTCTTGCTTTTCTAGGTGTACATAATGTGACAGCACTGGGTAATCTGATAACTTGGCAGAAGGTGGATTATGACTTCAATTACCACCAGATGGAATTCCCATGCAATATTAATGTTCTTATCACTTCAGAGGGCCGATCACTCCTACCGGTATGGCACGGTCTTCCTGAATTTGGGGAGTAACTAGAGTTGGTAGCTACTTACTTAGAGCATGCCATTCCAGAGACAAGTGGAGACAGGAAAACTGTCTTGTGACCAGGGGTGGGTATGATACTAGCATTAGTTACTGCCTTCTCACTCGTGGCTGCAGCCAAGCCAAAAACCTGTTCATAGGAGAACCAAGAGCTTGACCTTCCCTCCTCCTTGGCTGAATAGTATTGCGATGGCAAGGCAGTGACTGAAGTTATTAACGGAGACCCCAGTAATGGGTAAAGCCTGCAGATAGATACACCACTGCTCTCAAAGCCTTTTTCTAGTACAGTAGGTTCTGGGGTGGTGGGCATGTGAAAAAAGAGCAACAGATCTGGCATTAACCTGAGAAACTGAGTAGCCTAAGCTTACAAATACGTTATCTCTTGCATTCCAGCTTCCCATGAACTGAGCATTTGCTCTCTTGCTTCCAAGTGAAACTGGCTCCTGCTTGAATAAGGACTTCACACTGGTTTTCAAAAAGGGAACTGTTAAATATTTAAAGAATTGTCTTACTTACTTAGTTCTGGGAAATAGTGACTTCTGTTGCTTTAGAGGTGAAATTAGTCTTGGAATAGAAAAAAACAGAATGTGGAAAGAGATGATATGTAATTTTATTTTTCAGTCAGATTGCCAAGTCCACTTACAACCACAGATAATTCCACCAAACATGGAAGAGTATATGAACAGCCTCCTAACAGCAGTGCTCCCTTCTGTGTTGAACAAATTCCGAATTTATCTAAGTTTATTGAGGCTGCTGGACTATAGTATATCTGATGAAGTGACCAAGGTATGGAAGACTTCACTAACGTGTTTTCAACTGTATGTTCAGATAGAGAGCACCTTAACAGAAAGCTGCTGTACTTTCCCATTGCTCTGTCAGTGATTCTCCTTGAAGTTTTCTAAAAACCAAACAAAAGCATTTTCTTGTCCTGGACGTGCCTTCAAGGATTTGTACTCAAGTATTTCAGTATATACTTTGCATGTACCCTGCTTTCTAAAACTCATTTTGAAAACTAATTTTTTCAAAGATGAGAAGTAGCCTATTTTTACTCAAGCTTGCTTCCTGACAGCAATGATTTGAAAGGTTTCTCCTGTAATCTAAGGGTAGTTATGGTGCTTAGCTCCTTAAAAGCTTATCTCATAGTGAATATTCTTTTTTTACTGCTTAATTACATGCCGTATTGTGTATAGGCAGTAGAAGAAGACTTTGTAGAAATGCGCAAGAATGACCCTGAGAGCATAACAGCTGATGATCTGCACAGAACTCTGCTTGTAGCAAGGTGGGTAGCACCATTTGTCACACCTGAAGCCTTCCTGGCACTCTGGTAACAAATTAAGTCAATGCTCATAGTCTGCAGTCTGACTGTAGTCGCATGAGGCTGGCTAGCAATCACAAGATGGAGTCTCCTCTGCCTTTGTTCCTTCTGTCACAGATTCTTAGTTAGGCAAAGTATTTCCTCCCCCCCTTTCTTCCCATGCTTTCTAGTTCATAGGATACTGCAAGAAAACTGCTTTTGTACTGTATTAGCTTATCATCAAACCTGACACGTGAACGAGCTCTTGTTCAATTGCTTTTTCTGTTCATCCAGGTTCCTGTCTCTCAGTGCGGGGCAGACAACGCTGTCAAGAGAGAGGTGGCTGAGAGCAAAACAGCTGGAGGCATTACGTAAAGCCAGACTTCAGCAGCAAAAATGTGTTAATGGGAATGAACTTTAATATTTTGTGGATGTTGCTATGAAAATTTGTCTAATCCTAGGTGGAACCCATACTAAGATTGGAATATTGTTTATACCAGTTTTTGTAGATAATTTATACCAAAAAGTTATGGATATTTACCCTTGCAGTCTGAACACACTTAACTCTGTTCAGCCAGTTAAACATATTTTATGAAATTTTTTTGGAGCCTGTTTTGTAATTGAAAATTGGTAACAATGAGCAAATTGTTTGATATTAAACTTTAATACTGAAGTTGTGTAAACTTATTTCCTTTAATAATAGGAAAATGTAACCCAGAAGCCCTTCATACACAGCAGTGGTAGGCTCTATTCTGGAATAAGTTTGTGCTATCATTCTTGAATGGCTGAACTCTGAGGACTAGAGCTTTCAGCTAGGCAGCAGCTGCAAGGAGCATTGACTTCAGTATCTAGAACTGTATACTGTTGTTCCCATGAGCTAAGGCAGCACAATAGTTATTACAGTGTGGTATAAAGAAGTGATTTGATCTTGGCCATGACAAGGTTCCAGTATGAAACACATCCTTATTGTACTTAGAGGAGACCATGACTAACTTCTCAAATGTCTCTGAGCTTTAATCTGGCACAGCTGGTTTTTTTTGGGGGGGGGAGGCAGCATTAACTGGAGAATTGGTGATACTCACATACTTATCCAAAACATCTTACCTTCTGCATTATCAGTACTGCAGTGTGTTGAAATTGTTTGAATAATATCAATTAAGCATTAAGAATGGTCTCTATATATCTTATACTGTACAGTTTGAGCTTGTTTTCAGAGGACATACTGCCCCTAATATGACTCACAGAACTCGTTTAAACCACCCTTGTTAAATAGATAGTGAAACATTAAACCAGTTGGAGTAATCCAGACAGACAATATAGAAGTAGGGCTGTCCTTGTGGAACCAGCATGCAAGAGTCAGTGATAGAGCTAATTCTAGATTTTGCTTCAATTAATCCTTTTCTGACCCCCAAAAAAGGCTTCTGCTAAATTTACGTTAAGCTGATAGCCACCTTTACTTTATGGGAAAGCACTATTGAGATTATGTGAACAGGAACCCCCTTTTTTACTGGACTTGTTCCTATTCTAAGCATGTCAGTCATTGTTTTTTGCTGCAACAGCAGATCTGAAACTGTCCTTTTCACCTCTGCACACTAATAATAATTTGAGTGTTTTTATGATAAACACTTTTCCTGTATCTTAAACTTGAGCCAAGTGTGACACTCTTTCAAATCACTTATAGCTTATTTCTATTTTTGAACACTAAAGTGAATATTCATGGTTTCATCTGACTTGTGCTACATTAATAGGAAGTGAAGCAACTGAACAAATAGAGGAAGGAAAGGAAGCCTCTCTTCAAAAGGCAGCCTGGCTGGAAAGGATAGTTTCTTGCAAGATTATCTTTCAGTGCTGCTTAGAGGATGGCTTTATGCATATGGCCATGGATTATTTGAGACTATCTATCTCCACTATTTCATAGATATTGGAGAACTAGCCCCAGGTGGCCCTGCTTGAACAGGGGGTTGGACTAGACCTCCAGCAGTCCCTTCCGACTGCAACCATTCTGTGACTCTTAAACCAGAGAAAGTCAAGACACCCCACAGCCCTGGAGTACCATGTCCCTTAAGATCACATGCCAAAAACAGTCTTCTGATTCCACTTTTTTTATTAAAATATCTCATGTATATTGCTCACATTAAAATACAGTAGTAGTTTAATTTTAAATATAGCCACAAGTATAGACACTTGAAAAACCCAAACCCACATCACTTTAATAAAACAAATAAATAAATCAAAATTTGTTTATCAACGTTTCAGACCATCAGGGTAGATGATAATCATTTATTTCAGACACACTGGAAGTCCTAAGACACAGTACTACCCTACCCATATGACACTATTTTCTTGGAACACCACGTGCAGCCTACCTACAGTACACGGACTAGAACACAGAGGCACTGGGTCTAGAATGGTGGTTATAGTTACAAACCACAGCATAGTAAGATCCTGCTTTACAGTAGCTTTTGGATATGTCCTACACTAGAATGGCATGGCAAGGCATTTCTGGGAACAGTAATTCAGATAGATTTCATCTTTTGACACACATAGATAAGGGGGGTTTGTTATCCAATGCTTAGCCTTATCCTGCAAGTATGCAAAGCTCGAGCTGGTAATGAATTTGGTTTTGATTAGATACTGACAACAATGCTCTAATGCAACATTGATTTTATGAAACAGTACACTCACCTTCTGTTTTAGAAGTTATTTGCATCTGAACAGTTAGAATACAGTTTTAAAAAAGTCATAGCACAGAGGGACACAATGCCTGAAGGTCAGGTATCTGGCTTGTCTTGCTTTACACAGAGACAAAAAAAATTAGAGCAAATTGCCAGTGTGTGGAATTCAGAAAAAAGGAAGTAGCTTTAGCATGGGCAAGACAATTAGAGGACATTTGCTCCATTTCCCCTCACCCCAAAACAAGTGAGAAAAAAATAATCTACAAACTAAATTTGCACTGCAGGATCATGGATATTTCAGATTGGATCTATATGCTTTATCTTTACTGAAAGTGTCCCAGGGTGTGTGGAAAGAAAAGGACAGCAAAAAGAAATCTTACTTTCTGGTTAACATAATGAAATTCAACAAAACCGCATCAATTCCCATTGTAGAGGCACGATTCATAGAAAGCTGCATCTAAAACTTCAATGGAAACAAGTAAAAACACCAGTCCAAAAATAAATAAAATGTAATTTACTGGTAAGTTATTTTGCTGGTGCAGTGCAAGGTAAGTAAGGTCATAGAAGTACAGTATCACCTTTTTAGTATAAATACTTTCTACATAAGTCAGAAGAGCTACAAAATTAGTCTCCAAAAATAACTGTGCAACACATTTAAGATAGACAGCATGCTTATTAAATCCCAGTGTCTAAGCTACCTGTTTAAATACAGTTTACCATTCTTTTGTCTCAGCTGCCTGAGGGAATTCTGAAGCTTGGTCAGAACCAAATTCATTTGCATCTCTCACTTCCTGTAAACAAGTTATCTATATTATTGATCCCAGTATTCAGTAGCAGTTCATGCCACAATGAGTCCTGACATCATTTTTTTAGTATTGTATTAAAAGCCACAACTAGAAGAACACTTCCTCAATTAGCAACTAGATTTGAATTATTCGTGTCTGGCATTGTGTAAACATTTCTTTCAGTTCTTTTTGTTTGATTTCATTTATAGCTTCTGGTTCTGCAGGGCTCTTCTGGACCTTTGCAACAGCAAAATTAATCCCTTGAGTCAATCCTGCTTGCGTGATGTTAGCAACCTGGACCATGGAACTGCGAATTTTAGCAAAAGGAGATACAGCTCTGCTGCTGCTACTGTCAGCTGGAGAAGGAGTCATGTGGAGTCCAGTCTCAAGGTTACCAGATACAGATCCTGGGCTTTTATGAGATTTAGTGAAGTCAGTCCCACCAACAGCTAAGAGCTGAGGATTTGGCTCAGAAGACTGTACATCCAACTTTGATGGCCTGGAAGGAATGTCTCTGATGGCTTCACCCTTGGTTTCTGCCTTCTTAGATGTATTATTGCTAGTTTGATGTATTATGTGATGGGGCTCTTGAGAACCAGCCTCAGCCTCCAAAACCTCTGACATCTTATTCTGAGCATCGTGCACAAACCTCTGGCAATACACATCAATAGGCTTAGCAAATTCCAACTCCATGCTGTCAGCAGAAGGCATGGGTACGTCTTCACAGTCAGACCGGCTAGCCTGAGAGACGTGGATCTCGGAGGGAACATGAATGCTAATGTTCATGTCAGTGCTGCTTATAGACTGGGACCGACTGCCCAGCCGTGGAGCTGAGGCAATGATACCACAGCTAGGCAGCACGTAGTCTGTCTGCCCTATGTTCTCTAGAGAGTCAGTTAGCTGGGTGTCCTCATCAGATTTAGAATTGGTCAGGAAGTCATCAGAGTGGAATGAATCATTATCTGATACTTCTGTATCAGACTCAGTATGGACTTTAGTATCTACCACTGGATTCTCTAAAGTTTCAAGGCTACTATCTGATTTCCAAAGATTCACTTTCAAATTTGGTTTTAAAAAATTGACTTTCACTTCAGGTTTGGTAAAGCTGCCTAACTTCCGAAGATTGCTGATGTTTACATTGGACTTGGTTTGTTTCACTTTTTGATTGAGAGATGAGAACTTGCTCAGTAAGTAATTCTTGCCTTGGGCCAAGGACCCTCTGTTCTGAGACCGAATGCCAATGATGTCTTCATGAGGTTTACTGCTCTTCCTGGAAGAAAAAAGAAAAAGTCTCTAGTGTACAGTCAATGCAGTCTCATTTATAAACAGCAAGCAGTTACCAGCTTCCGGTCTACTTCCATAAGAGAGATGCACATTTTTGTTACTAAGTTATCCTTTCCTTATGTAATTGTACACATATAAGCTAACCAAATTCAAAACAACAAAAACAAAGGAAGGTTGATACAGAATGGTAGCCAAACAAAAGGAAAAGTAAGCTTCTGCAGGCATTTTAGTTTTAGCTGAAACTGGATTTGAATTCTCTATATTTGGTAACCCTGCCTTTGTGTATGCTGTACTCAGTAGCCAGATTTAGCAAATTTTCAGTCTTCATAATCTGTAAAGAGCAAGATTTTCTTGCTGTACTTTCTACTCAGCTGGGAAAAGAAGCTGAAATAGTAGCCCAATAGTCAAATGCAGAAGAAAGTTTTTTAAATACATGCCCTAATAGTTTTCGTTTGACAGTTTACAGTTGTGCTACACATGTTTTCTAGTAGTTCATACAGTCTGAGTTGTAAGGATCCGAAATAATGCAATAGATCACACTTGAACTGGTAAAGCATGCTAAACTTCAGCTAGCCATCCTCTTATTTCTACTCCATTGTCTTTTGTAAATGATTTCCCCACCATTAACACCTCACCGATATTTGTAGATAAAGGTTACTTCTGTTCAATTATAGACAATTGACTTACTAGAGAAAACCATCTAAAAAATTCTAGTAAGTACTTTTAATTCTCAACTATGCTTTCACATGCCTTCTCTTAATGGGCTTGCGAAACAACAAGTTCTGTGCCATTTTGACTAACACATGGGAGTTCAGAAGTTTAACTTCAGCCATTTCTTCACACAAGACCTGTAACGTTATCTGGATTTGTTAAACATCCAACTGCAGTGGAATCCAAACCAGATTTACACTCCACAGGTTGCCCTCCTACTACAGAAGCAGGCATTAAGTTCAAGTAGGAAAAATTAAATTTGACAAACTAATCACGAACCATCTGATCTGCAGTACATTATTTACATTTGGTAGTGTATATTGCCTATAAGCACACATGTATAAAATGGTATTCTTGCTTATACTTTTAGGTAGGCACCTGCAGACAGTTATTACTGGAAGCAGCATACAAACAAATTAACTCCTAGCACAGTAGCTAGATACAGACATTTCTTCTAGGCATTGCGTGTATGACTGTTGCCACGTACTCTTAGCCACTGAGAAGAGAGCAAAAGTAGGACACAGAAGGTTCACATCATTTAAGTACTCACCTCTCTAGCTTTTTCTCAATAATGGGCACATCTAATCCCATTGCTTGCTTTGTGATTCTCAGCATTTCTGCAATGCACTGAAGCGTGTCTGAAATCCAAGTAGCAGCCTGTCAGACCCTTAAAAAACCCTTAAAACCCCATATTCCAAAATGTACAGAGAAATCAGTCTAATTTTAACATAATTAAATTTGTTTAGTTTTGTTGGTTGTTTTTTTCTTTCATGCTACAGAATAGTTGCACCCTAACAAGTTGCAATTCTGATTTAAAGCTTACAAAGTAAACGTCAAGAATAGACTCTCCTTAAGCCCTAAATAGTGGGTGTAAGTGAATCACTGCCACAATTCATCATTTGTAGAAGGAAGAGAAGCAATTATATTTATTTTAATCCTTGTTGAAAAAAACTCAGTGCTCCAGGTAAGAAGTGATATTTTTCCCTTATTAGTGTTAATTCAGTTAAACAACAAGCAAGAACATTTTTAGGCATTGATTTCACTAAATAAATCCATTTCTTCTGCTCTTTAGGAGCTAATTTTAGGTTTGTTTTATCCTGTTTTGGAGCAGTAAAGATCTGGACATGGAAATGTCTCAATTCTAGGGAGACATGTTGCTTTAAAGCCATATCTGAAACTTCTTCTTCTTGCATTAAAACTGTAACATCCTAGTGTTCATGCAGGAAGCCACATACAGGGCTTTTTTTTGTTGGTTCCCCACCCCACACACCTAGATTATATTAAAATTTATCCTCCTTCAGAAGTTATTTTGAGAGCAATGGAAAAAATGTTTCCTAGAGACACACTGGTATACTGAAGACACTTTTACGTATAAAACTTTTACACATGAAACAAACCTTTTCCATCTTCTTCTGGGTTGCGTACCACAGCTCTAAGAGTGTGAAAATATCCACTCATTTCTTTGTATTTGTAATGCAGCCTCATGCAAGAGAACTTGGGTTTGCCAAAGAGAGTAGGCTCTGGCCCTGAGAAATAAGCCAGGAGGTTAGAAAACTTCTTCAAACAAACACTGAAAAAGATATTGCAGAGACTGTACCTAAACATATGCAAGTGTTGACAATCTTTTTCAGCATAAAAAGCTTCACGTTTTCTTTAGAGTAGGATAGACATTTTAAATAAGTTTTTCACAATAACTAAACAATTGATTATTTACAAAAAGCAATTAGACTCCCTGTATATGTCTAGTATAACCCAGCCTAATTGTTTATTACAGATCACCCTTTCAAATAGAAGAAAACAAATTCTACACCTATTACATCCTGTGTTTCAGGGTATGCTCCTGCAAGGATTAAAGGGAAAGCTAATATATTTTTACCAAGTGGAAGCAATGTAAGTTTCAAGATTTAGACCAAGTACTTCAACTCCTCCATGCACTGCAACATATCTGTATCATTAAACAGCATGGAGGGGTTCGTTTTTATAAAGTATTCGGTCAAGATGTTTCAACAATATTCTGCACATCAGGATGTATTACAGATCTCCACAATACACAAGTGAGAGAGACCTTTCCACTGAACTCTTAGAAATTGCACAGACATAGTGAAAGTTACAGTAAGGAGATAATGAAATCACTGTGTTGTGTAACAGAGGATTAAACTCTATCGGTTGGGGGGGGCCACACATTGGGGACCACAAAATTTCCCTCCCTTCTCTCCAACTGGAAGACTTCTCATCTGTAAAGTCAAAGATATCACATCTTTAATACTTTCAGCAGAAAATGCTGGATTTAGATTGCAGATGTTACATTTTTTAGTCAATAAAATCAGCATAACAAGGTGATTTCATAATAGCATGTTTCTTTAAAACTCTTCTCAAAGTGTGATAAAAGCTATGAAACAGATCTAAAGTACAATTCAGAACCAGCTGACAGTATTTGTATCAAAGAAAGAGTGCATTGAATGCACAAACCTGTGATTCATTATAGAAGTTGATCAAATTGTTGCTGCCATTGGATAAATGACATTTGTTTGATGAATCCATGGTTTTAAGACCTTTTAAAGAGAGGAAATTTTAGGACCCTACCAATGATCAAAGTTTCCATTTCGAGCAGTAGCAAAAAACAGGACTGTGAGAGAACACAGACTCAACTCACATCCGTTCATCAGCCAGAGAGTACATTTCTACCTATGGTGGGCTACACAGGATATATGCAATACATTGAGGCTCGCCATTTCAATGTGTTTGTAGGATGCTTTGATAAGTGCTCAAGCTATCGTTAAGAGTATTCAAAAAAAGATACATGGTGACTACATTCTTACCTATTTCTATTTTTTCCAGAGCTTCAAGACTTAACCTTTGGTACTGATTCACCTTGTCGATTTCATCATCATAACTAGAAAAAAAGAATCAGAATTTAATGCTTCCTACTGATCTAAAACAAAGCTTCTAGAAATAAACTACACATAGTAAGAGAAAGTGGTAACTTACTAGGCCACGTAGTAGGCAGAATTAGAAAGTAACAGCAGAACATCCACATCCTTATGAGTGGCATCAATAAGACTAAGGAAGAGGAAGAAGAAGAATGAATACAGGGAGAAGGTTTTATTTGCACAGCTGTAACCCATCCCCAGTGTATTTTAGGAACACTCTTCTACAACTGAAGGCACATTACAACAAGAAGTTTCAGTTATGGTATGTTATCTTGTGTGATGCTGCTACCTCTTCACAGCCACTGAAAAAACAGGTTAGGTGAGACACTTCACAAGCCAAAACACAATGTGTCATTAGACTTACCATACAATAAGTAGATCCATGTAAGCAACATTGTCTCTCTCAAAGCTGGAGTTACCTAATAGCTCAAATAGGGCAGCAGCAGGTCCAAAAATAAATAGAAAACCCACAAGCTATTAAAAATGCTAACTAAGAAATGGAAAAATATCTCAGACTCAGTTAAGGTGATGAGTTGGTGCTTTAAATAGCTATCATAACATCCTGCTTTGCTATTTTTAGATGCTGAAGTTTAAACTGCAGAAGATCTAACCACTATTTTTCCTTTACAAGTTAGTGAACTCTGAACTTGATAAGGAGTCTTATCAGTAAAGTTGGAATTCATGCTCGCTACTTTCATGAAGAGAAATCTAGGCTTTCCTACTACTAACTCATTATACAAGAATTTAATCTTATCAGATATGGCTTTGAAGTCAAATTACACTTTCCCTATAAAGCAATACGGAACAACAGTTCCTCAAACAGCCCCTTCTAGAACTAAGGGTGGTTAGAAGTTCTCTTCACAGCACCTAGCACATTTTGGCAATATTAACTGAATGCATGCAATTCCAGGTGATGTCTCAAAGGTAACTTCAGCATGCACCATTTTTATGGAACTTTGGGGAAAGCACATGTTTAGAGGCCCTTTTCTTTTACAATTACAAGTGTTCAATCCCTTCGGGGACTCTTGTCATTCTACAAAACTGCCCACTTGTATTCTGTTAACACATTAGCTATCAAAATCATTTAACATCAGTAGTAATTAACAGAGGTGTCATAGTAGCAGCTGATCAATTAAGACTTTATTCAGCAAACCTTGGATCACAGTCAATAAGCGCCCATCCTCCATGGAATTTTTCATCATCTGGTAAGAGCAGTTTCATGTAGCTCTGCAACAGCTGGCTGATCAATTCCTGATGGCTCCTCAGGTTCTCCTTGTGCAGAGCTTCATGCTCTTTCTCTTTTGTAAATATGGAGTAAAGATCCTCTGTTACAGGGATACCCTGCATCAAATCTAAATAAAAATCCACAAAAACACCAAACAACAAACCAACAGTTAAAAGTGATATACAGCAATAGTCTATTGATTACTTTGTAAATTCCTTCCAAATGTTTCATATTTGAATATACTCTTGAAAAACTTTGAATAGAACATTGCCTGAAACTGAAAACTCAGTAGGTATAACACTATTTTCTCAGTGAAAAGCAAGAGTTAACTTACCATTTTGAGAAACACATGCTACACAAATTTAACTTTGTCTAAAAAAAGAGATCTTACAAGACAGTTAATGCTGAAATGAAGTTAGAAGCAAATTCTACAATTAGTTACACTGCATGTAATCCTTCTGAATTGAGTGTTGTTTAGTTTCCAAATAGAGAATGACTGTTGCACATGGTGTCCACTACATATACATGAACATTATATCCACTCAAGTTCCTTTTAGGCCTCAGAAAAAAGAAAATCCATCAGAAGGATAAAGCCAAGATGATTTTAATATACTTTTCTAAATACCATAGTTCAGCTTAGTTGAAATTGTATTCTTACCTATGACTGCTTGCCTATAAGCATCCCTGAAACGGTTCAAGTAGTATCTGTTTGCAGAATTAACTCCATCCTTCATTACCCCTGCCAACTTTCTTTCACCAGTCCTTGTGAAGTCACCCTGTTAAAAAGAACACATGAATCATGCACATATGCAACTTTGACATAGCAATCTCAGCTCAAAAGCTTTGGAATTCTGAAATTTAGAACTGAATAGATGACAAATCAGAAATTATGTTCAAGTAACTATTTCATATAGAAGTTGAAAATATTGATTGTCGAAGAGCATCTATTTCTCATGGCATTGTTTAACTCTGCAGGGAATCTTATGCTTTTGACAGACGTGACTGTATGTGAAGTCCTAATGGAAAGCAGTAATCTGGACATACATGCCAGCTAACAAAGCAGAACTTTCAAGACATGAGTCACTAGGATGCTTGAATACAAAAAAAAAAAAAACCAAAAAAACCAACCCCACCACCTTATTTTTTGGCCTTTAATGTAAAAGGAATGCTACTGGAACAATGGGGAAGACTGGAGCTTACTGAAAAATGGTTTTCATCTTCTCTGCTTCTGCTACCAAAACAAGACAAGCATAACATACTGAAAGAAAATAGTACATATCCTCACAAGCTCAGAAACAAAAGAAAGTCTCTAGACCACAGAAGGCTTAGAATTTGAATAAAAAGCAGTTTTGGTAGTTACACTTCATTAGAGGACTCTATTTTCAGAGACTCTCTGAGCATTGGCACAGAGCAGTTGTAAAAGCCACACCAACTACTACGAAGAACACTTAATTTGAAAGTGAAACAACACGCTTAAATTTATTTTGTTTGATACTTCAATCCATGAACCTCAACTGTGAGTACAGAAATCTTGAAGCAGAATGGCTGAAAATTTAGATCTATAAATTGAGTTCTGTGCTTCAAATTTAAAGTTAAATATTCACAATCAAGACAAGTGTGTCAGGCTCAGCCTTATAATTTTAAAAATATTAATGTAATAGACTAATCAAAGTTCAGTAGAGAGACTTAAAGAGATAAGTGTTAAGCATTTCCACTGTAAAGGTTATTCCAATGCCAAATACCATGAATACTAAAAATTGTTCTGCCAGTGACTATACACACAGAAAGTAGCTCAAATTCTATAACTTTTCAAAGCAGCAGGAGTGAACAGTAAGGATTTTCATGCCTGATTTCTGATCTTGGTAGACAGACTGCATTGCAACTAATTAATATCACCCTGCTACCTACATATCCTGATCTTCAGTCCTTCAGAGTATTTTTTTTTTTTTTAAGTACTGTAACTGTACTATAGCCATGTTTAAATTGCATTAAAAGTAATGCTTAATATAGATCTTAAACTCTTAGGTCAGCTGTGCTTTGTATCTAGACATGAAACTAACAGAATTAAGTTAAAATACAGCCAGCACTGCCATAGGACACCTGGACACTCAAGTCTTCTCCAATTCACACTCAGTGTGATATACAATATTCTTCTATTGAAAGGCCTCATATCTCCAAGACAAAAACATGCAGAATATTAGGCTAACTTTGTTACATACACAAGAGTTCTCCATTGGACATAAAACCTGTAACGTAACATACTAATCATCACAACAGGTAACACTCTTTACCTTTAAGGCTGCTGTGCCAGCATACTGCCGGCTTATGGCATCTCCGTTGTTCGCCCATATTATCTGGTAGATTCTATTGCATTTTACTGGCAAAGGCTGTTCTGGTGGCATCACACCTAGTTTTTTGAGCTGAAATTTGACGTACACATTAATATAAGGTTCAAAATAAAAAAATAAAAAATCATTCTCAATAACAGAGCTTGATAAAGAAAATGGGAACACTTGCCAAGCATTTAATTGTTGCATTTTATATGATCTGGAAAAGGAACCAATTCTGCTAATTTGTCAGATTAATTGTTAACAATTAATCACTAATTCATTGTTAAACACCATATCACTGGACACAGCAGTAATATATTAGTTATGGATGTAGGAGTCAATCTTCAAAAAAATTAGCTGAAGGCAGGCAAGTTACTCTAGATTACTCAAGATATGGGAAATAGTTCTCTACAGAAAATAGAAACATCAAAAGAACAGACATCACAGAATTTTAACATGGATAAACAAGTTAATGTCTTCTATTGCAAAGGCATTCATGACCTCAAAAGGTCTGAAAATAGATGGAATCTCTTTCCAGTTATAAGAAAGAGCACACCAGATTCTTAATCTTCTGCTTCTAGACACTAAAGCAAGCGTATTGGCTCCATCTTCAACTTTAATGCTTCCCCAAAATAAAACCTTAAAACGACTTCATATTTTGTGTTTATTATTAATGCTTGTGCATTTTGGACAGTTACTGTTTAACACTGATACTGAACGTAAGATATCTTACTCTTCAGAACAACCGGTACTTAAGTTTTCCCAAGATAAGTCTCAGGTACAATACAAACTTTAGTCTTTACACACACTAAATTGGTAAAGCCAGACATAACATAACTGCAGTGTAGTCACTGAATGTTAGGCCAACTGCAGGAATAACTTGGACTACGTCATAGGCAAACCTCAATTTACAACCAATAAAAAATGCTCAAGCACTCCTTGCAAGTTAGATGAAAATGGATACAAGTCCGTTCATTGACTTTGAAAGCCCTATCAAGTTTCTAGCCAAGAGAAACAAGTCCTATGGTTCTAAGGAAGTACAAAGGTAAGGCACCTGTAACTCTCAGTCTTCTACTTTATGCCAGTCACCTTCCAATGCTTAGGGCATTTCTCAGTTACGAATTGATTCCAAAGTACTTCAGCTATAATACAAGAATGATGTAGCACATCACAAGCTAATACTATAGCAATGATTACTGAAGTCCTTCACAAAAAAAAAATATCTATGTAACTCTTGATTTTAAAAGGCTGCCTTTGGACCCAGATTTAACATATACAGAAATCCTATTCTAAAGTAACAGCTGTGGGATTGCTGGTGCCACCCTTCATCCCCAGTACTTTTTTCTATGTTGGGAGTTCATAAAAGCAGATGACAGACAGGAACTGCCAGATACAACAATTAGAGCCATTCATTTTTCACCCTAATGAAGGGCCCACTTCATCCTTATCCTTCACTCTAAGCATAGTCAGATTTGTTCATTTTTGGCTGGGCAGTAACTGAGGCTTCAAAGTTTCAGTTACAGTACTATTAAGCCTTCACAAGGGAAGACAATCATCACTGAGCTTCTATATCAAAAAAGCAAATGGGGTGCAGGGCAAAGAGGAGGAAGACTAAAGGAAAGACTCTCAGCCTGCTTCGAAATGCCTTCTCTATGCAGAGAGAACTATTCCAGAGCACAGTAGTCAGCCATCTGGGGTATTTACATCGTGAATTAGTTATTCCTCTACATACAGAAGAGACAACTAATCTCCCTACCTGCTGCACCACAGTATTTCACTTCAAAGTAGCTAAAATAGCATCCAACTTCTAGTTAGATTTTGGTCCTTTAACATCTCATATGGGGAAGGGATTTATTGGGGGGGGGGAGGTGGGCAGGGGAGGGTTGTTTTTAAAATTTTTATTACTGCATAATTTAAGATGGCTAAACCAAAACAAGAGAATCCTCTCTAAGATGTGGACACAGTCACTCTCTGACGGAGGACACTAGGCATCCCTCTTTTAGAATTATTTCAAGTTATTTTAGTTGTACATATTACTTTCAGCTTCATAACTCTCCAAGTAGTTTGCAAAGATCCTTTTCAGTAGAGATTAGTTTAGTATTTTTCAAACACACAGGTTTCCCTGTGAATAACAAGTTCTGAGGTACTCAGCACTTGAAAAAGTACATTAGTTATACATGCCTGCTGTTCCATGACCACCCTTGCAATAGCAGCCTGCACAACATTGGTACGATCCAGACAGTCCATGCAGTTAACTCGAAAAATTCCTTCCTGTTTACAAATCACACCAGCTTGGTCAACCCTTTCAACAGAAAAATAGAGCAAAAGCATACTGAGACACTTAAAATCCGGTGTAGTTTATCAGCTTCTACAAACAGTAGAAAACTTTACAGGTAGAGTACTATTTATAGTTACACTTATCACCCAGCCACACCCCACTCAGAATTAACTAACTCTGGTTCCCACCTATCCCCCTCTTTAGCTTAGATATCCAACATACATCCTATTGGAGCCACAAACTTGATATGTAATCAGATGTCGAATTTAATTCATACATATATAATACAAGCTTTCAAGAGAAAAGGCACTGAATTTCAAAAAACATAGACGCCAACGACAGCAACACCTCACTCACAAAATGCATTGAACAATATACAATAATTGAAGACTGCAGCCATACCCATTACCAAAATGCATGAACTTTAATCAGTAGAAACTAAAGATCAAACATGCCTACTGTTTTCAATTGTAAGGTTGGCATTCTAAGGTTTGTGGGTCAAATACAAAGTGTTTCATGTTAAATACAAGACACCCTAGAAGTGTTAAATGCAGTAAGCCTCAGGCAGAAAAACAGCATCTGAGAATTTTTGCTGTTAAGTGTGTAGAACACCAATACTTCAGAACACAAAAAACTGACACACAAGCTGGGCACCAAGAGAGGAATATAAAATATACCAGTTATGACAAAATCAAGGCCTCTGAATATGCACTGCTTTATTGTTTTCTACAAATACTTCGTACTAGTCTAAAACTGTTAAGTACCTACCAGCACCACTTCATGTCAAGAATAATATCATGAATGGCATCAGTCAGTGTTTGAACATTTTCAAACTTCATTCCTCGGCTAAAATACAGAATTTCACAGAAGTTAGTTTGAACTAGAGTAGTGATGTTTCTTTACTTAATTATTTTATATTATTTGTAATGTTAACAAAAATAGCATTTTTGGTTAAGTGGGAGAGACAAACATTCTCTCTTGCAATAAACTTAAAATAGTTCTGAATATTGACTGTTATTTAAAAGTACAGTTCAATATCTAAATCCAAGCCAAGAGCTTCAGATCTCTAACTTCTCAAGAATTTGCATTCTTGAATGCTGCTTCCATAAGGAAGAACAAGTGAGCAGCTATTCAGGCATGTGCAACATTCTGTCCTCATTTTAGGCAGTCTCAACAAAAGTAACCACTATAGATTTGAAATTGGGATGGCCTTCCCTGCTTTACCAGTGATTCTACAGAAAAAACAGCTACAGACATATCATCCCCTCCTCCTCCCCCCACCCCACCAGGTTGTTTTCAGCATTGTTCCCTGTTCACTCACAGTGCAAAAATAAACAGTCCTGGTCACTACAGCAGTTCAGGAGAAAAGCAAACAAACAAAAATGAAAGCTCATTTAAAAGAGTAAGTATCAGATCAATTCAGGATATCAATAGTCCTACAGAAGTCTCAAATGCCATTACTATTGTCAGGGGTTTTTCCCTTTTCCCTTCCTCTCTCAGACAATATCTACTAATGACATACTTATTCAGTCAGTAATGCTTTCCCAGGCCAGATGTAATCCCTAGATTAAGTTAGGAAATGAAGATTAAAACAGTTTTTCGACCCCATATTCGTACACAAATATAGTCTGCTTGAGGGAAACATGAGAAATGCGTGCCTGTGACAGATCACATGCTTGGGCATGTGAACACTGCACTAGACCAAGCTAACAGAGTGGAGTCATGAAAACACGAACTATTTCTACCGGATTAAAATAAAATCCGGTTTATTTTATAATGGAAAAACAGCATTAGGGTCCTGAAAGAACCCATCATGTGTTTATAGAAACAAGCAAGAGAAACAAGAAGAATGGCTTGCAGTAAAAAATTAAGAGCAGAATGTTACATAGTTTGAAAAGCAGGTCAGCCACAGCTTTACATTCATAGCATGTTTAAGGAAACCCTCTTGCTTAAAATGCTAACAACTTCTAAGCTTTGCCTAATAAATAACTGCATGTTTAACTAGTCAGGGACACAAGATCAACAAACAGCAGTGTTTGGTTACTCAAATTTGAACTTTTATAGTGCTTTAGTTTACAAAATGTATTATAGAATCATAAAATCATAGACTCATTTAGGTTGGAAAGGTCCTTTAAGATCATCAAGTCCAACCATCAACCATGCCCAATAAACCACGTCCTTAAGTGCCTTGTCTACACGCTTTTTGAACACCTCCAGGGATGGTGACTCAACCACTTCCCTGGGCAGCCTGTTCCAATGCCTGACAACCCTTTCAGTAAAGAAATTTTCCCTAATATCCAGTCTAAACCTCCCCTGCTGCAACTTGAGGCCATTCCTTTTAAATAGGAAGAACAGGACGAGAGGAAAAGTGTTTCATGCAGAAGTAGAAATAATAATGGCTTTTCTCCTCCCTTCTAGTCTCCTTTCATGCTAATAAAAAAAGATGCAAAGTGACATTTTTAAAAGGTTTCTTACCAGTGCTCATGGAAGTCAAATGAAACATAAGTCAGATTTGCATTGTTGTACAGAAGAACTTGTTTAAGGTAAGCATCTCCAATAATCTTCTCTCTGCCTGTCTGATCCACCAAATTAATAATAACCTGTTCAAAAGTGTAGTTATTTAACACTTGTCATCTGCCACACAACTTGCTTAGATACATAGCATGGAATAACAAATAGTCCAAGAGTTAAAAAATTTGTAGGCAATCTTGCTGAAGTTACAGTCTTTGCTACATTATACCCAAGATCAAATAAGCACCAACAGTTACCTGCCTACCTGAATTTTTGTACAGAGAAGCTATGAATTCACAGGACAGGTACACAAAAGTGGGGCTTACACATTTCTGTAAGTTACTGCTGTTTTTTAGAGGTGACTTACAAGGATACTTGAAAAGCTTAGTAAAATTCTATCTATGTACCACCCTTACAATTGTCTACGAGCTTCTAAAAAAAATCACAACCCATATCACCAAGAAAAACCTAAAAACATTAACTTTCATCCCCTGCATTTTCAGAAGATAACTATTTTATCATGTAGCACTCACCTGCTTTTTGTAATTTTTCAGCTGTTCTTCAAAATGTGCACGAAAACAGGACACCGTTTCATTTTCACCTACAAGGCAGAGCAGTGTTGGACAGAAACAGCCTGTTCAGCAACAAGTCCTGTTTGACGCATTAAATCACGCCCAAATCTATACTCTAAGAAACCAAGATAGCTTTGCTTGAAGTACTTAGACACACAACATAACACATTGTACAGAATTACTTGTAAAGGTCTACCATCAACTTGCTCAACTTCAACATTGTTGTTCTACTACTATAGTGTATAGGAAACACCATTCTTAAATTTTGCTTTATTTTGCTTTTTGTGCAGAGCAGATTGGACAAAAATTTAACTTCTAATAATCCTGTTTAATCCTTCTACATACACACCATACACCCACATAAACATCTCTTCCAAAAAAGAAGAGTGCTTATATTTGTTTTGCATTTTTTGAAAAAGCAAACTGAAGTACAAAAAAGGTTTGCAAATTGCAAAGAGGGACATGCAGATCAGGGGATAATACTGAAAGTGTTACCCAGTTGTCCTAGAGGACAATACTACTTGCAAATAAAAACCAAAAATGCTACCCAGTTGATTCAAGGCACCACTGATTCCTTGAAGTCTCAATTCCTACCCATAAGTCTATCAAATTAAATGCAATTCCTCAATATTTTTTTAAATAATCCTACTAGAAAATAAAAAAAGAAAAAATAAGATGAACAAAAAAAAGAACTGCTCAGCTTAATAAACAGATGTCACAGCATAAGCTTATCGGGGCAGGGGGGGATTAGGAGGTATTTTTATTTTCCTCACTTTCTGAATTTATTTAAATTTTCATTTCCATGATGTGGCAACAAGTCATCCCTCTCCAGTAATCTCCAGGTTATCTGGTATAAAATCACAAGAAACCCAAATTTGTTGATGCATCTTCCTTAAGTTTGCAATGATCGTAACTGCTTGTCAATTTAAAATTATGTGCTTTGCCCAAGTTCCTAAGCAAGCTCAAAGGCCCATTTTACTAGGTCTTACTCAAGACAGAGAAAAACAGTCCCTTAACTTTCCATCATCACAGCCCCCTCTGAAAGGGCAGGGTTATTTTATTTTCAGCCCTAAAAATTGTCTTCAATGGCAGAAGACCAGACCTGCTAATACTAGAGGAGAATGTGAATCCAACATACAAGTTGGACTCGTGGAAGTACATACTTATGATCTAGGATGCCAGTCAACCCAATCCAGTGGCGGTCTGATTGTACAAGATCATGAGCATACTAGCTTCCTTCCAAGAAGAGTTTCTCTTTTACAATGCTAAACCTCGAGAAGATACTGTTGACCTCTATCTTAAGAAAGTTCAGGCTATGAATACCTATTCATACAAGCATCCAGATTTGCCAGAGTCTCACCAATAGTCTCACATGTTTTGGCTTTTGCATTATCTTTCAGTGGAAAAGGAAGCAATTTAGATCTGACAAAGACCCATAGATAGGACTTAATTTCAGAGAAGACAAAAGCACACTATAAAACTGTTTTCCCACATTGAAATAGCAGTTCTTACTGCAGACAGAACCTCAGTGTAAGTTAAATTTGTGGACAAAAGTATTTGTAAGACATCAATGTCTAAGCAGGTTCTCAAAAGAGAAAACCAAATTGTCTCCCTTCCCAACTCAGAAAACACTGCAACAAATGAGACTAGACATAAAACGGATACTTCATTAAATACTGAAATTCAAGGCCTGATGTAATTTACAATGGACAAGAAGTTAGAGCTCTGCGTAGTTGCAATTAGAGTAGGAGTTAAGTGGAGTCAAGTCATTACTGTTATTCCTGGCTTCTAGAAAGTGCCACTGAAAGACTAGTAGCAAAGCAACAGTCCAATGAACCTATTTCTAGGGGAACTCTCATCTTTAGGTATTCCACTCAAATACTTACTCTTGTCCAGTCGGGGCCGTGGGTTATATCTATATCCAACTTGGCTCCAGAAAACAGGCACAGAGCCTCTTGTTTGTATAAATGAAAGAGTATGATTATGAACATGAATCAGTTGCTCTGTCTCAACATAATTCGCCACGTTTCCATTTTTATCAACACCTCTTCGCTTGTACCGCATTCCTAGGAGGAACGAGAATGATCAATTCATATTTAAGTATTAGTCTTAAACATTAGTAACTTCTGTTACTGTTTTTGACACAGTAACACAGGAGAGTTCTAGCCAAAATCCATGATCAATGGTAAAGGTCACTCCTATCCTACTCTAATCCCAAAAAGTTATGTTGACTATACGGATAAAGTTTATTTACTGATACACAACAAGCAGCAGAAAGTAAGTTGACAGGGCAAGGCAGTCTACTGGCACTGTAAGTCACAGATCTTTCTAGTCCACGCTAAAGGATACACTACTTCCTGTTCTGTCAAGTTTAGCAAAAAGTTTTACTTTAGTGTTCAGTATTTTCCATGAACCTGAAGGCCACTTTTACTGACAGATGCTCCACTTCTCACAATGAGATCCCACAAGCAGCCCAAGAAGATTTGCACATTCCACAAAACAGAAGACTTCCCCTGCCTTGTTTTAACCTGTATAATTAATTCTGCATTTTAAGAACAGATACTGCTCTTCTGACTACACAGTTTTTTTGCCTAGCCACCTCTGACTGATCATTAAACAGAACAGGTAAGTGTTTGCATATGGAGGTTTGCCTAGCTTTTACTCGAAGGAGAATATATCACTATTTCAGAATGGATGCAGGTGGTAGCAAGGGATGGAGAAGGAATAAGTAAAAAGGGTTGGAGAAAGATTCAAGACCATGGTTGATAGCATGGAAATTCAGTTCCCCAGAATGAGAACAACTCTGTTCCAAGTCCTGAAGTAGCACTGGACCAAACTTTTGAACTGAACCTCAACAGCATTAGCTAAGGACTGTGGGAGAGAAGGGAAGAGGTTAGAAATAGGGAAGTGAAAGTAATGTAAAATACCTATCATAGGGACCTTTATACAGTCACAAAATATCAGACCAGTATAACAGCCTTTAATCAGACAGGGGCTTTTAGAATAAAGAATCAGTCATCCACTACTTACATCCTGCCACCAATAGTGGCTCTTACACCAAAATCCAAACTAAATCTTTGCACAGGAAACTTCAGCTCCCTTACTTTTGATATCTCAACTATTGCAGACACCAGGCTTTTACTCTCTTAAGCTTAGGAGCAGCTGTCTTTCTTTATCTCACAATACCTTTCCTTAAGGTCTTGGGCATGTTGGTAATTTAGTGCAGTGGTGGTTTTGTTGATTTTTTTTTTTTTAAATCACAAACAATCTGCCTGAAAGAATGAATGTATTTAGCATAGAAGTATATTAGGCTTTCAAATCAGTGTTTCCTCTGGGGTTTGTTGAGGGGGTTAGGTGTTTGGGTTTTGTTTTGTTATTTTAACTACAATATTTCAGAAACGTACTCTTTCAAGTCTTGGCTAAAATTACATATTACAGGATGAATTAAACACACAATCCTATAATTATTCTTCAAAATATTGCATCAATTTACTGAAACAATCTTTTTGTGTCACAGGAGAAAGTTCAACACAGTTTATGCTCTGGACTAGCAATCAGATGAGCATAGTATCATTAACAGTAAGAGAGAATCAATAAGAAATTTGCCCTCTGCAATTCAGTTTCTGTATCTGCAAAACAATTTAGTATAAATAAGGCATACTGCAAACTAGATACTACCCCGAACCCCAAAGTATTTATTCTGAGTTGGTTTGTCTGACAAATAATTTTCCTGGGAACTGAATTAAATGCATTGAAGTGAGCTGTGGTACAAAGGTCAGTCCCATATCAGGGTAGGCTTACCAGTTTGTTTGGGTTTGTTTTTTTTTTTGTTTGGTTTGACATGTTAAAATCCTATGTAGGAAAGGAGTTGGACATGGTGGAGAATATCTTAAAAAAGTCTCAGACTGAAAAGGCTTAGAGTTGAACAGGACCTACTAAAGTATAAAGTGATTCAATCTTTCCTTCTGTGCTCCTAAGGACGGGGAATATTTTCTGTTTACCTTGCTACTATTAGAATAAGTCAAATAAGGTGCAAGAACAAAGCATGATTCTTATTTCACACCTTGGTCCTGCATAAACATCTCCTGGGACACAGGCATGCAGACACACCTGCCTTTTCAAGTCTCTATTCATCTGCTGTCAAAGCCCTCAAAGGAAGACTTTCAAAAATTTAACTCCAACCCAGGCCTACCAAAACGTATCAGGACAGAGCTGTACGCAAGGTCCTAATCAAGGTGCTCTTTGCAAAGACAGAACTTTATCTCAGAACTGCAACCTCCAAAGATGCATTCAGTGCTCAAGACGAGACTAGTGAAGCTCACTTAGTAACTGCCCTAAGAAACAGCTGTGTAGTGCTGTATGCACTACGGCCTTTTCTTTTCCTCCTATAAGTGGGAAAGGCTGTAGCACATACTTTGACAAAAGCTGACCATCTGCTGAGCAGCACAGCACTCTTTCAAGTTTTATCTTCTGCATCCCCTTCCAGTGTTCAGGAACAATCCCAATACCTTGAACTCTGTTTGCCTACCAGCTCTGTGCCGACTCCGGCGTGAAATAAGTGCCACCAGAAATGTTGGATGAATGTCATCTACACAAGTTGATTCCTGAGGAGGAGTTTCAGGACTGCTCTTATCATCATCAGAAGATTCACTATAGTTTACTACAAGTTCTTCAATTTGCACAAATCCTTGTATGATGGGTATAATCCAGAAGTCCACTTCAGCATTCTGAAGGTTACAAAAAACATTTACATTCCTGTTGGTTCTACATTACCTACAATGATTTCTGCCATTTCTCATGTTTATAAACAGTTGCTTCACATGCTTTTCATGTTCTAAGAAGTTTTTGCCATATCCTTGTCTTATTTCTGTAAGAGATACCAGCATTTTTCCTACATTAGTCATAGGACTTTTAAATCAAGAGGAAGAAAGCAAGCTACTTAAGATTTTTTTTCTGTGGAGATTAAGCAAGCTGAATCAAGGCAAGGCAAAAAGCCTTCCTCTACTCCCAGCTATCTAGGGACAGAAGGAAACCCTACAATATCTAAAAGCTTCTTTTCCAGTTTCCCCAAAGGGACTTTTCAATACAACGTTACATCTGATGTTTAAGCACATTAAAAGCTTATAGTAGTAACTTCCCATGTCAAAAACAAGAATAGTGAGTTCAGATGCAGCAGGAAATAAGGTAATTTATTACCTAGTTTCTGCCTTAAGGCAGTTTTACAGCCTCTATATGGACATATAGTATATTACATTTATGTAGGTAGATAGATAAAAATTTAAAAGTGTAATGTTGTTAGCCTGTTTTCAGCAAAACATATTAGCATAAGCTTTATATGGGCCAACTTAGTACCCAAGCCAACTGGTTCAGTGCTCTGCACATTAGTGCTTTGTCACCCTAAAACATCAATTTCTTAAACAGAATTGAGATCCAAATTCCCTACTAATTCGAGGTTATCCATTTATATCTTATAATGTGAAAAATACAACTAGTTAAACTCCTATGTTGTATGCAACTTTTCACAGAGCATCTAGGTTTACCCTGCTCTGACTCCATAACCAATAGAGTATGTAAAATTATTAATGAAAGAGATGCAGGGCATAAGGTAAGATGTCCACTGTCATCTTTAAAAGAACCCAAGTCTTGGTCTAAACTGGCATATAGTAGTTAGTAACTCAGTCCTTTATCTACAAGGTTCATTTAAAATGAAGTGAGATGATATATTGAAGAAAGAGCTGTGGTTCTATGTTTCTTTGTGTGCTCATTAGCCAGGAAAATGCTTTATCTACTCTGAATAGCTATTCAGAATAACTTGTTCTACACTACTGTTACATTGATCAGCTACTCTGTTGAAGGAGAAAAACAGTATTCTCTACTTAGGAGGACAAAAATCTTGTCTCAAGAAAACTTTGGAATTCAGAGGTTTTTTCTGGCTCCTCCTTCTTATCAAGTTCAGCTCTGTCCAGGGATAAACCATTTCACAGATGAATACATCTTAAGTTTACCTTTGAAATCAGCACAAACATATCACATCGAGTTATTCTCCATTGCCTTATTGTAATAAAATTTCAAATTTGGTTGATGCTCATTCATTAGCAATGATCACAGGCTAACTAGAAGGCTGCCAGAAGGCTGGCTGGAGGAAGAAGGTAATGCCAGCTGCTCAGCATCAGAAGGCACAGCCCTCCCTAATCCTGACCCATCTGCCAAGCAGGTTTTTAAGTAAACTTCTACAAGGCCTTAAGTAAACATTTCAACTAAAACTAAAGAACAGTTCTCATAATACATGTTATTGTTAGAAGCAAGACTCACATCAATGCTGATGAGATCTTCAATCATATGCTTGTTCCAAAAGAATCTGTCATCAACCTGTTTATAACAAAAAGGGCAGTTTCACATTATTTTACTTAAGGTTCGGCAATATATTTGGTAAAGACACCAGTGTTATTCACTACAACTGTACATACAAGTCTAGTGTTCTTTGCTTTCGACTATAACAGCTCAGTTCAAGACATGACACTGCAGACTGTTTCATTTCCTTGCACTGAAGCAGGTTACAGGGCAAGACCTGCAGCTGCTGTAGGTTATACCCGCAGAGAATGTGACCAGTTAAGTTTGGACCACATACATTATTGAACAGCACATGTCCCAATAGAACAAACAAAGAAACAAAACAACTTACTTTTCGCCACAGTGGTAAGTTAGTTTTCTCACACGCACTCTGCCTCTGCACAGAATTTGTTAGGTCATAGGTCAGGCTGTAGTAAAAGGAGTCTGAATCCATGAACATTTTGAACAACTCCTCCAATAATCTCTTCTCCAGCTTCTCTTTCTCTTTACTTTCTTTAATCTGAACAAAAAGTAATAGCTTGCTTATGTCTTTCTCTTTGACTGAAAAAGACTCCAGCGATATTTGCTAAATGCCATTTCTAACCTTGTAGACAAACATTTTCCCACTGAGGAGCAGGATCTTAAAATTTCTAGCAGAGTTAAACACATGGGACAGCATCTTCAGAAATATCATGCTATTACTTTTAGCAGTAAGAGCATTCAAAGCAGTCAGACTCTGAAACTTTTGGAGGTTACATTCAAGTAGTACTTTTCAGTCTCAAGAGTTTCCAAGAAATATTGGATCTACCTGTTCTAATTTTAATAAATATTATCTGGACTTTCTAATCCAAGCCATTATTGTGTTAAAAGCATTTTGATAAGATTATATGGTGTTCTCTGAGGAACTGTGCACCAAATTTTGTCTCCAATTGCATATTAGAAGAGACATGCTTATGCAGAGCAATATGTAGAAGTGTAGAATCCCAGTAGAAGCTAATCCTGGTAAGAAGGCATTCTATTAGTAATTCTGCCAAAATTAATAATTACAAAATGAAAAAATCATAGAAGAGCCACAGTTAAATAATTGAAAATCAGATTGAACTTCAAGACAGTAGTTGCATGTTCTGCAGTTTTTCGCTACTTCTCTTTTTAGGTCTTAGTACTCCATTTGATCATCCACAACCTTTGAATTATCAACTAAACATCTTGGAAGAACAAGAAAACAGTAGAAAGCTTTACCTTCTTTTTATTTGGAGCAGACACATTTGATTTAATTTGAGTAAGAGTCTTCAACAGAAATTTTGTGTCATCTGGTGACTGTGTAATCTTCTCTGGCTTGTTTATTCCAAAATGGTGCTTTTTACAAAGCTAAATAATGATATTGAATTAAAGCAAATACTTAAATACTCTTTAAAAAGTTCAAGGAAATTTTAATTAAAGTCTACAAAAGCAAGACTGAAATGTCCACAAACCTAGGGGAGACACTCTGGAATAAATACAGGGGGAACATGCAGGTTTCCATCTATAGCAAAATTTGCCCTCTTTTATATAAAAGGCATTTTCTGCTGTGATTGTGAGAATGTCTGCCTCAATTTGACATGACGTGAGTATCCAGACCCACTTCAACTTCACACCCAAATTACAGTGTAAATTAGTATTACTCACTTGTATTGTTTTTCCTTTACCCATTCTCTTTTGGAAAAAAATTCTGCAACATTTAAAATAAGGGTTTCCCTTGAAGCCAAGTTATAGAATTAAGATTCGAAAACAGGATGGAAGCAAGAGCATCCATTAAAAAATACTCTCTCCTGATTCAGAGGGCAAAAGATATGACAGCTTCTTCCCCAAAACACACCCACACAAAGCCCTATATTAGAGATATTTGGGGATAACCTCAGGAGTAAGAGTTGAAGTACTTGGGAGAGGGCACTGCAAATCTGAGTTCTTGTACAGCTTTCTAGGCACAGAAACACCTAGCTGATGCCGTACGTTTTTGCCTACATAATTAAGAACAGGAAGGTATTGCATCTAGGTTTGAAGTCACATTCTTGCATCCCAGACCCTGGGAGGTTCTAATGCCCAGACTCCAAAACAGTGCTTCAGCAGCTGTTCATGCTCCTAGAGTTCCACCAAAGCTTTGGAGATTCCATGTTACTCTTTCCCTCTTCAGGGAAGGATTCTCATGCTGTCATACAGGCACCATAGATACTATCACAAGTCATCCTGTACCCCTATCATCATCCCTCTCTGCCACACACACTCAAAAGAGAAGCCTGAAGCCAGACTTGTTCTCCCAACAGTCTACTAAACAGTGTACATCATCTTAGAGTACTAGGATTTACCGGAAGTCTTACCATCCTAGTCATTAAGAAGTAATCAGGATAGCTTTTTTTAAGCAAAAACCCAAGGTTCCTATTCTAGTCTACAGCTTTGTCCCTTTAGATGATTCCAATGGATTCAGTTCTGTTCTCAAATGATCTGTTGCTCAGTTACACTAATAAAATTCTGTTCCTGTGTGATATTTTCAAGGGTCTTTATGAAATTTGGCTATAATATTATTGTAATTTCCCTCCCCAGCAGAACTGGTGATATCTATTTAAAAAAATAAAAACTTTTAATCAAAAAAACAGTATTTAAAAAGCACAAAATGTTCAATACATCCACATACACCAGCAAAAAGAGATAAAAGAGGCATATGTTTAACTATTATATTTCACATTTAAATTTCACTGAAGCACAGGCAGGAAAGTCAATTCACTGAAGATAGTCATACCTCTAAGTCCAAATCCTGAGGCTCTGTTTCAGAAAGTGGAATCACTGCAATCTTTGTTATTTTGCAAACCTCATGGTCTCCTGGAAGTTTGCCAATCAATGCTTTCTGACGAATTAAAAGTAGCCACCACGGTAAATCTGGAAAAAGAGTAGTAGATGCTTTTATTTGTCTGTCAGACATTTACTTTGATTAGTCTGCCAGAAGCTTCTCCCCACTGTAAAACCCCTGCCAGGAACCATTTGACTAGAAGACTCCAGTGAATGATGATTTGCTATTGCTGTTTTGTTATTATGCATTGCAATTAAGAAAAAAACAAAACACCTCTACAAAAACAATACTTATTCAGTCTCTAATATAATAAGGAGATCAACTATTTCATAGACTTAACCATTAGAGGTAAAGTTAGCACTGCATCTATAGCAATTAGGCAGTCTCTAGGATGATGCACATTCCCACCAACATCACTAATGGCAGTACAATTTGAAAAGAATAGCTGGAGCTCAACAGACAGCAAGCTAAGATTTTCCCTTTGTACCTTCTGTTGTGTATAAAACAGCAAACAAGACAGACATGGGTAACATCCGATTACAATATTTAGAAGTTAAGAAATCTGGTGAGCAAACATGGACTGCATCATAAAGCAACTCATGTACATTTAAAGCTTCCCAACATCATTCCTGAAGTATGTGCATCTTAGTGGTGTAGAAATTAATGAGCCAAAGATTAAGTTATTGGTAACAGGTGCGTTCCATACACACACTCAGTCTACAAAATTTGCAATCATAGCTTCAACACTTTAAAGAGACAGGGAAACAGAACAAACATTCCCACTGACTGCTGAATAGTGCCTGGACATTATTAGCTTCCTAAATTTTAATCCCTTGCTTAGATCACTAGCATGCTAGTAGTATGCTGGGCTTTTATGAGTCAAAAGTGAAAGTTCTGTTGAGAGATAGAAAAGGCACAGAAAGTCCTAGAGACACACATGTACACTCACAATTTCTCCCAAATGAGAAGCAACCAAGTTTAGCTGAAGAGGTCACATACAGACATTGAAAGCCTGCTATGGTAGACTTAAACACACTTCCACACTTGTGACAGTTGAGTGTGTCATATTTTATGCCTTTGAATACAATATACAGCCTTTGAAAAATCTATTTACAGGCTTTATAGCAAATAAAGTCTGTTTTCCTTGCTCAGTAAATTCTAAGCAGTATTTTATCCTCCAAGTGCTTAAGAAAAACCCAGGATAACATGTTTAAAGTCACAGGACACCAAGAATTGTTCTCTTTCCCAGATTTTCCAATACACACTCAGCATAGAATTAAAGGTCTATCAAAGCTCCCAATAACTGCAATTAAAAAAAAACCTTGAACACTTCAACCCAAATCTGACAATGTGTACAAGCAGCAGTTTCTTCTATCTAAAGAAATTGAATAATCATTTTAAATAGACTACTGTGCATTATGACACTCCACTCCTTATTTTGCTTTTGTATTACTATCTTTAGAAAAGAGATGTGCATATGTTGGGTATTAAGAAGCCTTTAAAAGTTACAGATCCTCATAATTACAAATACACTGTGAGAACCAGAGGCTGCACCCCAAAAAGGGAGGAGGGAAAAGGGAATAAAGACATGCACCACTTATTGAATATATGTGATCTTCTAAAGCAAGTCCTGCACTAATTCCTGAACACAACATCAGAAACATAATCTCTATAGGATCACAGAGACAAGTCGGGTCAGAAGGGATCTCAGGATGTCACCCTGCACAAGCAGGATCAGCTCTGAGGTTGCATCAGGTTACTCAAAGCTGTGACATAAGCATCATCTCCTAAAAACTGGTCAAAGGATAACAAATAAGGGCAAGAGTGACAGCAAATGCCAGCAAGACAGTTATCCTCACTGACAGCAGGCACTGGAACAGCTTTTCTGTATAGGTACAGGCAACATGACTTGGAGAACACCTGCCTTTGCCTCCAACATTCCACCCAGCAACCATGGGGGTAAGGTGGAAATAAGAAAAGGGAAGCAAAGGAAAACAGGACAGATTCTATGCAACAGTGAGAAGACCAATAAGTAGGTAAGAAAATCCTTTTTAAAAGGCGAAATTGAAGTGCTGCCCAAAACACCAGCAACAGATGAAGATGTCTACTGCTTCATCTAAAAAGGTCTACCATTTTCTATATTGCTTTCCAGTAGGCAAGAACAATACAGTCTCTGGAAACCCAGGGCAATCCAAGCTTAACAGAAGGGTAGTACAATCAGATATCCAGGCAGATATTCCTGGTGGGCAGTGCTATAATCGCATCTGTTCCCACCTACAGAAGGTTAGCCACACAACTTACTGGTATGAGGAAATCACCAGTGTATGTCAACAGAACAGATACTCTTTTAAGAATGGATACCATCTACAGCTCCAGTGAAATAATCAATATGATTCCATTGGAAAAAAGTATAATGTAAAAGCACTTCCAAGCAGATAGACCTTAGTGAAAACTGGAAAAAAATTCTCTAGTTTACCTCATATTAACAAACCCTGGTAGTAGTAAACAAGAGTTTAATACAGCCAAGTGAGTTCTGTATCCCTATATCATTTTTTAAAATGCACTCAAAGTCATCTTGGTGTACATTTCAAAACTCTATTTGTATTATAGCCAGAGCCACAGAACATTGAAAGAAAACAGGAATTCCCCAGCAGATCAAAAGAAAACAGTAAGGAAGTAATTATGCAGATAAAGTATGCCCTACAGTAAAAGCTTCATCAACAGCCAGAGAAGAAGCATATTATAATTGCCAGCAATATCTAAATAACTGAATACCTAAATAGAGTATGTGCTTGTGCAGTTAAAAAAGTAGCTCCACAGAATAGCTTTTAAAAAAAAGATTAGTTATTGTCTACTCAGTGTGGGAGGTATGGTGCGTACAAGAGAAGAACACTACAGCTATATGTCATTCCAGAAGACCTCATGTTTTAAATCATCTCTCAAGATTGAATGTTCACTTTTAGTGTTTTATGAACTATGGCAGAGCAGATGGCAACAACTAATTTAAAGTACTATTATCTAAAGTAAGCTACTACCTCCCATTCCTCACTAAAACAGGAATTTAGCTCTTTTGCTTCAACAGTGTTAGCACACCACTGCTGTTTATTTTCTCTAACACTTCCCAAACAATGTAGTATTTAGTTTCCACAAATGCTTTTGCAGTAACTTTTCTTAAACTGTGCATAACTTTACTATAAACACTGCTTTTTGCAAGTATTTTGATTTTAGCCAAGAAATTCCATGTTACCATTTTCTTATTTTTTTGTTACTTGAATAACTTAAAATTAGTTGCATGCAAAAAGAATGTTTTAGGTTGTTGATTGGACGAAGTTACAAATGGCAGCAGTTACATCTCATTGAAGATATTGCAGATGCTGAACCACTAATTGTTTCTATCAAGATTCAGAGGCATGCTAACAAAAAAAGTTTTCCTTTCCCGGGGACAGGAAAGGAGGAACTCCACTTCTGTTTACCGAGTCTATGGAACTTTGCCAGCAGCATTTAATTTGGGTCTTAATTAACCAGCACTGGAAGAGCACACCAAATTGAAATGAGTACAGACATTAAACTGCATAGGAATATGCTTTGACCAAGAAACAGAAAAATGTGTGGTGGTAATTAAGCGGAAGTGGCTAAGAAATCCAGGTTTGGTTATAGTTAGATACACAGTATTAACTCTGAGCATATTCTAGCACTGCAATGTTTGATCAACTTGCTAAGTAGTCTTTGATCAAAAGTGATTCAATTTCAGGCTACCATTACCATTTTAGTGTATTAAAGTATCTACTTTTTATTTCAACAAAAAATAACACAACCTCTTCCTAGTTCTGTATTGGGATTTTGACAAAATTGAATGGCTACACTTATATTTTGTATGTATGCACACTAACTGGACCACAAAACAAAATTAAGATTCTGTAAAGGAGACACTGTTTATGCAAGAGACATGCTTGCCTCTATACGGGAAGATCATGCAGAGAGTTTTAATTGTGCATCTGTACCAAGAAAACGTGCAACATTCTGTTTCAGTAACTTATCTCCACAACATATTCTAAAATCATTTTCCTTCTATTCCCATTTTTACTCCACATTTTCTTACAAGTCATCTTGGAAGAGACCAGAAAAAGGTAAGAGACCATATCCTCGCATTCCGATATTCAGCTAAGGTTTTGTTGTTTGGCTTTCTGCCCCACCCCCCATCCCCCCAAAAGCATCTTAATGTTTAAGAAAACTCAGTATTGGGGAAGAACCAAGTGATACTTCAAGTCGACTTTCATCTCCAATGTGAGCGTACAGTTATGTCCAGATGTACAACCGACCATCTCATAGCAAAAATTCTTTAAAGAATTAAAAAATAAACCATGCAATATTGGCTAGCTGGTTTCTATGAGACTGCTTCCCTGCCACAGAAGCTTTACTACAAATTCTCCTGTACTAGGCCAGCAGCAGAACCAGCAAGATTAAGAATAAATTAAATCCCATCCATAGTTACAACAATTTGGGAAGGGTATTTCAATGCTAAATTAAGGACAGCCCAAAACTGCCTACAGGGACATTTCAAGGTCATTTTAGGACTACACCGGTATTCTCACATTAAGCAAATCTTTCAAGAACTTATAAGCATCTATGCTCAAGACATTAAAGTGTCTATAGACTTAGTTACAGCTTTAGAGTGCACTGGTAGCAACTTCAATACTTGAAAAGGTGTTTAAAGTTTCCAGTATTAGTCAATATGTGCTAAGCATTTTTAAAACACACCAGTACTTCTCTCCAACAATAGCTAATAACAAGGTTCTGAGCTGGACAAGCCCATACAGGACTCTAGCTAGCCAGAGGAGCTTCAAATTAAGTTTTCTGATCTTTATAATCTGGGGGCAGGGGAGAAGAAATCAGAGCAACAAGTCTTCCTGTTCCAGATTAGCTCTGGGAGAAAAGCATTTCACCCAGCTTCTGCAGCACAGTACTCTTACTAAGTTTGGAGACAATGGTCCAGCAATGTTAAATATTTATACAACTTCTGCTGATAAAGTTTCCAGGTGACAAAGATTGATACAAGAATAAGTAATGAAGACAGGTTACTGTTACAGACTGCTAGATGATTCAGCTAGAAGATTACACAAAACTACACTTGAATATGATCAAGTGAGAGTTCATTGACAGTAATAGGTTTCCAGAGACCTACATAAGACATCTCAGTCAGCCCTCTCATTTGGGCTGCAGCCTGATGGAGGACACCCATCAGCAACTGTCAGCAGATTCAAGGGAGCACTAGCTCCCAGCAGAAAAGTAAGGATAAATAGCTGGAGATTGTATCCTTCTTCAGACACTTAAAGGTAGAAAACAAATGTCTGTTTACAGGACAGTTGCATCACTAAATACCAGAATATCAACAGCAAGAAGGATAGTCTATGAACAGTTTGTGATGGTATCATCTGAACAAGGCAGAGAGGAAATAAAATGCTTCCACTGGCCTAAGCAGCAACTGACCAGAGTGCCTGGATGAGAATCATTGATTGAGTAGCTCTATAGGGCACATGGAAAGACTCTTATAGGCTCTATTCAGTAGCTCTATAGGACACATGGAAACACTTATTATGTGATAATCTTAATTTACTTGACAACAGCAAGCTGGCACCTGTTGAAATGTCACATGCTGGGGAAAGTTTCAACTCAGCTTTCATAAGCAGAGGAAGTACTTCACAATAAGCACACATGCAAGGATATTCAGTTGCCATAACATTCTAGACCTTCCAGAAAGCATTTGACAAGGTCTGCCCCTTCACAGGCTTTTATACTAGACTCCCTAGAGAGAGGGGGGAAGGCCTTTGTGTACCTAAGTACTTGGTTTAAATAACAAAAAAACCCACACGCAACACCACCACACAACACACGCAAAAAAACATGTTAAAAACAATCATTGAGCATTTTCCCACAGCAGAAAGAGGTCATTACTGGAGTTTAGCCATCATTCATCATGAACAGCACATGCTGAACAGCACAGACAACCTGGATGAGAAGAGAAAGTGAGATGGCAGAGTCTGAACCACTTCACATCATCAGATCTGAAAAAAAGGATGGCTGAACAGATCTGTAGAATGAGCACAGACAAAAATATCAGGTGAAATTCAAAGAAGATAAAGCGATGCAACTGGAAAGAGGACATGACCATAAACTTCATGGAGAGATAGGCTCTGAACTATTAGTCTCAGAAACAAGACCTAGAGGTTACAGGAGCTATGGAGCCAAGCATTTCCTAGAACTACGTCTGTCATATGCTCATGCAGTGGTGTACCAGTCCCCATTTTCCTTCCTCCCCTACTGCTAGTATGCCACTGCCATCTTGACTAATCTGTTTCTATTCAATGGACCACAAACATCTGATCCATTTCAGCACTTAATCCGTCCTGCTATCCTGGAACACACTTGAAACTTTACCCATATTGATCATATTGCCAGGCACTACTTTAAATGCAGAGTCTAAGCATTCACAAAAAGAACAGCACACAGTAAGTGAAGCAGAGCTTATGGCTGGATATCTTTTTACTGACAGGTAGGAAAGCTAGAGCTCTACTGGCAAAAGAATCTTTCTAGACAAAGCTGGTATATATCAAAATAAATATTTATTATGGATACAGGAATCTACAGCTGACTAAAGCTAGAAGAGCATTGACTTTATTTTACAGGGAAAAGGTACTAGAATCAGTTAGAGACAAGCTTAACATTAAATTACAACGCATTCTACACCTGCTTTCATTTTATAGCTATCTTAAACTTATTTGTAGTTAAGTGTAAGCATTCCTTTTACTTTCAAATACTCATCTACCAAGGTAGTAATTATTCTTCAGGTTTTCATATAGCATTGAGAATTCAAGACTTATTTTTGTGAAAGCTGCCATCATTAGCTTTTGCACTGTATCATAGGAAAACAAAAAAGTTTGAAAGGATTATTCAAAAAGGTACAACAATTTTACAGATCTCACATGGAGCCTCAGATAGAACTTCAAACACAAATTTCTACTCTTTGTGAACACAGTTCTCTATTTTTAGAGGACAGTGATGAACCAAAATACATACACTGGAAAGTAGAAGGAATTTGCATCTGCAGCTATAATATAATCACTTTGACAAGTTCACATAGTTGGGGAGTACACCTCCATTGCAAAAACCACTACATAATTCCATTTGAGCTACACAGTATTATTTGTAATATCACTGACTTCAAAACAAAGTGCATTAGCAGTAAAACAAACAAAAAACCCAACAACCACATACCTGTATGAAGCTGAACTTTACCAATGACTCCCTCTACCAGGCCCAGACAAATGGGATTCCAAGCCAAAAGAAGATCAGTGGCTGCAAAAAAGAACAAAACTCCTGTTTTTTTAAAGTTAACTCAACAGGACAATTAATCCAGTGATGGTCATTCTCTCCACTTTCCCCACCTTGGAGGGTAGAAAATACACCACTATTCCTGCAATAAGAATAAGATACATAGGCTGTCCAATTTTTGCTTGTTACCAGGTAGCTATGACCAAATTACTAAGTTTCCAATTTAAAGTCCTACCCCAGATATTTTAAAAAACAAACATAATTGTTTGGGGCTACAGTAATTCAGTTCAATGGAAGCTTAGTCCTTCTAATGGCGATTAGAATTTGTAACTTAACTGATATTGTACATGGTACGGTGGAATTGAATACAGGTCATTGAGTTAGTTACATAGCTTCAAAAACCTAGCAGATGTTAACTTCCAGCCCCAGCTCTCTCCCATACCTATCCAATTACGATTAGTTTGACATCCTCTTTCTATATACATGCACACACACACTTCCTCTTTTCTTAAAACACTCTCAACAACTACACGGAATACTGAAGTACACAAACTTAAGTTTCAGGTTTATAGTTCTTCTACTGTTAAGAAATTCCAGTGAACCACACAGGAAGAGAAAGCAGGAAGGCAACACCATCAACTTTCTAAGCTATAAAGGGTACTCCTCTCAACATGCATTCAAGCCATCACTTGATGCAAGTCAGTAAGACAGTATAAACACTAAGAGTATTCTGTAGTCAGACACACATTGTTGATACTCAGAAAGAGTTTCTAATTTTGGTGTAGTACCTGTTCAAGAGCTCAAGACTGTGGGAACAAGTAAGTTTTGTAAGTCAAATCTTTTAAGTGAAAACAAATCCTTAAAAGCTATTAATATCCGTGTAGGAGAGAACAAACTCGCAAAGGCAGAGAAGAGAAGGTATTTCTATACCAAGGACAAGAAGCTTGTTATTATCTACCAGAACTCACTTGTTCCAAGGTGGAAGAGTTTCTCCAGTTTTAACATCCAGACAAATTAAATATCTTGGCTTACACTTAGGTGTAAGCAGATGAACATTTGAAAGAACAAACTCACACAGTATCTTAAGATACATAAGGGTACAAATCATCCACCTACATACAGTTTATTTACAAGTCCTTAATTTCTTCTTGGAAGTCAGAAATCTGCAGGTAACAACTGATACTCAGTCTGATACTTTTTACATACCTATTTTCAAACACTGTATCCTCCTTGAAACATTGTAATTAAGACTTTGCTATTCTAAGAACACATATTTAATCCTAGCTTTCAGCATAACATTTAAATGTAAACCAGACTCAGCTAATTTCATCATTAAATGCAAGAATTTACATGAGATACAATAGAAATGGTTTAAGTCAGGATAGATCTAAGTTGAACTCATTTAAAGGGGATATATCACATGTGCTTGTATGCAGACAAGCAAGAACTAAGAGCACGTGGCAGCAGAACTTAAAGCTATGTTTGCAGAAGGCAGTACAGGGCTACAATTAATGTGTGCAACCAGGCTGTACCATTTAATGGGCTATATCTGCAGAGAAACTCCTGGTTCTTCATGTTTCACTGTAAGAGTGCTACAGAAAGTTACTTGGTCTGTACAGAACCTAGTATGAATCATGCAATAATTAAATGAAGTTAAGGAGACTAATACAGATAGACAAGCACCAGGAAATAAGCAACAGTGGCTATGAGTGTGAACAGTTTGATTTACCCTCAAAACTTGCTGAAGTATCTAAACTCATCTTGTATCTGTATGCCAAAGACTTGTGCTCATACAAAATAAGCTCTAGGACAGTCTTGAGCTCAGAGTTTCAGTCCAAACAACATGCAAAAGCATCTGTATGCTGAGTGCAAGTGGAAAATCTGCACTATCAAACTTATAGGAAAGAGGAACACAGGCAGGTTTCCTCACTCCCAAGTCTTCCACCTTCTTTCCCAGTTCACCCACACAATCCCCAGAGTCTTGTCTTCACCTCTGAATTTTCCAGAGCTGTATTGTCTCAGACTTCATCTACTTTTTGCTTCTTTGCAGCTGACTTCTGCATTCATATTCCACTGCGAGAGCTAGAAACCAGCTAGATACATCAAGCAGCCAAAAAAAGCTAGGCACAGGAAGAATTTAAAGAACCAAACCACTGAAGGCTTACCATAGCCACTACAAACCTAGTCATCTAGAATACCATCTAAGTCTTTTTAAACTACTGATTTCCTGCTATGACAAGAGATATTACTAAGAAAGCTCTGGATAGTAAGTGATATTTTCTTCTAGTAGCTTACAATAGATTAAAAAAATGAGAAAACAAGGCTTTGTTTTAATTAGATATAAAGAGACAATAGTTTAGACTTGCCTGCAAGAGGACATAAGGAAACTGGAATCACTAACTGTAGGACAAGTGGGTCTTATGTAGCTGTTCTATTAGTTTTGTGGACATATGTAGCCCTAGGCATAATCATACAAAATGTGTCCAAGACTTCTACAGGAATACTTCTCCCTCGTAGTGCAGAGGCACAATGAGAACTGGCCCTAAACTCTGACTCCTATGTTCACTTAAAGTATAGACGAGCTTGGGAAAAAAAAAAGAGAATGCATTTGGAGTTAAATGAACATTACGGTTTAAGAGTTTAAAGACACAATATGTGGAGCCACCAGCTGGACAGCACTGGCTCTTGAGATAAGCGTGATTATCAAGCTACTAACAGTAAAGGCTGACTGTTTCAAGAAAATTCTCAGTTAAAAGTTTTCAGACAGCATTCGTATGAGACATGTGGCCACATTTCTGACTGCTGAATGCTGAAACAACACATGGCAAGTTTGAATTTTATTTTATTTTTTTAAGAAATGCCTTATCAATAAGAATTAACTACCACAAGGCTCTATCACTGGACTTCTCTCTACACCCAAAACAGACCAAATGCTTTGAGATATAATGTGAAATACAATTTATCAATACAGTTACTCTTGCTTCCCCACACAAACTTATATTCCTATAGATGTCATGCTCATCATCTAGTGATCTCTTGAAACTCAAACAGCCAGGAATAAAGACTTAATCTGAAACTGCAACACATTATTGTTGAAACAGACTTCTTACAGTATTGTGTTGGTTATAATGAGCACTGCCAAGACAGTCATTGTCCTTCAAAGCAGAAAGTAGGAAGCTCTGTGCAGAAAAAGTCACTACAAGCAGCAAGCTGAGCCCTATGGAAGATCTTCAACTTGGGGAGTTCTCTGGTGTCCTCAGTATGTTTTAATTTGAGACAATTGCTAGGATTTGATAGGCCTTAACACATGCCCTTAATACTCTGAGGTATGTCCTTGCTTACCAAGTTTCCATCCCAAAGTACAAAATTGCTCATTCTTTCCCTTATCCCACCAACTAAATTCAAGCTATTAAAATAAGCATTGCCACTTTTTGCTGATTCCTGTCAGAGATTAACGATCACTGATGATACATTTATTATTCACAGCAATTGTATCAGCATTGTAGTTGCAGCACAATAGAACTTCCGTCACAAATTCAGAACAAAACCAGCTTTGATGTGATTACTTCCACCACCACCCCTCAGAGCTTACCAGCAGTGATACGGGGCTATGCAATACCAGATAAAGTTTCTTTAATTCTTCATGCTTACACAAACATAACCCTGAAAAAGTTGATACAAAAGCAACTTGGAAGAGCATCAAAAGCCAAAACTGCTTTCTAGCTCTTTCTCCAGTCTACCACCAGCAGAGTTGATCCTAGGTCAGGCACAAATTCTGATAAGAAAACAAACCACTGCTTTCAGATAAGCCACTTGCTCAACTACAATGACTCTAGGCAAGTCTGAAGAGTTTAAGGAGGCAGGCTGTCACAGCTTCCTTTGGGGAGAAGACAGGAAGAAAAAAATTTCATTTGTAATCACTTGAGCCCTTACTACTGAGCCACTACCTGATTCAATCCATCAAATCGCCATAACTATTTATCTTCCAGTCTTGCTGCAGTTCAGGGAGTATACTCCTCTTATCTTCCTCAAACTTCACTGGCTTTCAGGAATGGACTTTGGCTAGAAAGTGTTTCCTGTCAGTGTGCTCAGTACAGAAACACACAAAACATCACTGAACTTCAAAAGCTCAGTTTATATGCAAGTGTACAAACAGACATTGAGTGCATGCTACTTCTCAAAAAATTCTTTCCATAGCCTGACAGAGTAGTAATTCTCACAATCATTCTCACCATTCAACACAAGCAATACACATTTATATATATAAAGTAAAAGCCAAGTAACTCACTGTAAATAGCCAAAGTAAAACTTTCAGCTCCGCTAATGTAACTTCTGATACTAAGTGTTAACTTTCAAGAAAAAACTTCCACGCTATTTTTAAATAGATTTGAGAATTTTTTTTTTCTTTAAATTGCATCTGCTTTAGATCAAGGACAACCACAAGACTATTATTAGCACTATTGGACCCTCATGACCTCTTGTGGCTTTTGAAAAGAAAGTCTGCTTCCAAGTTCCAGTTCATCTTTGAATAGTGTTCTGAAATATTAGCCAGGATTAAGAGATTACAAATTAACTGGGAAGACTTAAGAGTATAAACTTGAACTTCCTTCTCTTGTAGGAAATGAAGTACTACTTATGCAAACAAAACTTAGGCTAATTAAGTTTTCCTTTCAGCACAGATTTCTAAGTTTAAATATAAACTACTATAATTACAGAAAGATGGAGGAGTATTAAGACTTTTAGTATTACAAGTACAAGCTCTTTATTGTCATGAAGTGTTAACTTCATTTACTTGCATAGTCTCCCCCAAACTTTAAACAAGTTATCCCTTCAGCTAATCACCTTTTTTAATTATCTTTAATTTGTCATTTATGCAGCTTGCACTGTCTGTGTTAGTCTTGAGCCCTCAATCCCTTATAAAGCAAAGCATTTCAATTCTAAGAGAGAAGTGAAATCACCACTACTCCCCAATATGCCTCCCCCCACACTCACCCCCCTTAAGAATCCTACAGCTAGGCTACACT